AGCAGTTTTATCGGGTATTCTGTAATGCTGGCTCCTTGAAATTCATAATAATTCTATTGTTAAGCTTTTGGAAGCCCAGTCTGTTGGAAAAATGGGCCATGCCCACGAGCAGAGAAAATACGTGCAATGAACGTCCTCTTGCGGGCCATCCTTTATTTGTATTGCTCCCTGAGTATAGTGTCCAGGTTGGACCCCTTATGTGTGGGAGTTGAAGTGACTCAAAGTGAAAGTGAGTATGAGTGTCTTATGTTTATGACTGAGTAGGTGGGTGCTGTGCGAATGGGTGTGTGCCCGCGTGTGTAGATCAGTGGGACTGGATGTGGACACCAACAGCTCTGAAAAGCACTTTCGGTTTGAGCCAGAACTTGCTTCCAACACAGAGAGAAACACAAATGGCCAGGAAACACTGTCATCTTTCTCTCACTGGCATTACTCCTCTGCATTAGCCAGCCGCTACACTGGGAATGACCTAGAAGAAAAAGGTGAAGAAACCCAGAGTTACTTTAAGTCTTTACTTACCATTAAGTCAAGGTAGAAAGTATTGGTAGAATGTGTCAAGAGGTGAAATCAAAGCAGTAGGTAAGTGCAGCATTTTTACTATGCTGTTATGAAATGCATGAGCAAAAACTTGAATGCTTATATAGTTTGAGATAAAAATTATGCAATTTAGGGCCCGGCGCGGTGGCGCAAGTGCTTAAGTCCTTGCCTTGCACACCCGGGATCCCATATGGGCGCCGGTTCTAATCCCGGCAGCCCCACTTCCCTTCCAGCTCCCTGCCTGTGGCCTGGGAAAGCAGTCGAGGATGGCCCAAAGCTTTGGGACCCTGCACCCACGTGGGAGTCCCAGAAGAGGCTCCTGGCTTCGGATCGGCATAGTATTGGCCGTTGCGGCTCACTTGGGGAGTGAATCATCTGACGGAAGATCTTCCTCTCTGTCTCTCCTCTCTGTATATCCGCCTTTCCAATAAAAAATAATAAAAATAAATCTTTAAAAAAAATTATGCAATTTAAATGAACCAGGAAGATAGCCTTTACTCAACACCAGATCTGTAGGTGCCACTTTCTTGGTTTGCAATGATTTTACATGTGAGTAAAAGCTTAGTGCTGTAATTCATCATACTTCAAAACTTTATTACTTAGAACACTTTTCCATTATAATGAAGATACACCACTACCAGGGAGGTGGCATATGCTTTCTTCCTGCTGAAAGTAAAAATGTTTTGTGTTTTAGCATCTTCTACGACACCTTAAGAAAAAACTTTAAGAAGTCTCATTTGAAAGGCAGAATTATACAGAAAGCCAGAAAGAGAGAGAGACAGAGAGACTCTTCCAGCTTCAGGTTCGTTCTTCCCCTAGCCCACAGCTGTTCGTGGTGGACTTGGCCGAAGCCAAGACACAGAAGGTAAGAATGCAATCCATGTGTCTCAAGTAGGCGTCCAAGTCCTTGAGCCGCAGTCTGTGCCTCCCGCGCGGCACACGAGCTGGAAGCTGGGTCAGAGGCAGAAGCGGCACTTGATGTAAGCATTCCGACATGGAATGAGGCTATTCCAAGTGACAGCTTACCTTGCTGCAACACAGTGTTTGTTTTCTGCTTTTTCAACAAAAAAATTCATCTTAATTTTGCTCTAGGCCCCCGCCAAATTGTGCAACCAGTTTAATTATGTTCACTGTAGAATCTGGTAAAGCCAAAAGCTTGATATCCAGCCTCTCTAGCATCTAGTGTAGGCCATGTGACCCTGTCATGGTCAGTGAGGTAGAGCTGAACTCTAGTGGGAATTCCAGGGGGAGAAATGCAGTTTTTGGTACAAGGGGAAGACAATGATTGTATTACCTTTCCCTTTTTGTCCACCTAACATTACTGGAGCTCTGCAGCCATTTTGTGATCATGAGGCAATAAACATGAAGCTAGAGAGCAAAAGGCTTCAAGTTGCAGTGAAAAGGTGAGGAAGTTTGTGTCCTTGAGGGCCATGCTGAGCCAACATCAGCACCCACTCATTCAGATTTTTGTTGTGAGAAACATGGATCCACAGTTAGACTATATCTTTGTTTCTCCTCTGAATTTATACATCAACAACCCTAACCCCAATGGGATGATATGGGAGGTGGGTTATTGGGAAGTAATTTGGGATAGGTGAATGAGGCCCTGAGAGTGGAATCAGGGCAGGATTAGTGTCTGTGTTAGAGGAGAAAGTTTTCTCTTGTCACTGCAAAGAATGTACAAGTGTAGCTATGCATAAACTAGAAGGACGGCCTTTCCCAAATGCCAGATCTTGGATTTCTCAACCTCCAGAAAAATATGAGAAGTGGCTATTGTTTAAGTCCCCAGCCTATGGCATTCTTATTATAGCATGCCTGAATGAAGACATCTATCAGTTTAGCAACTACGTCCGTTCATGCCTTCTTGATACTTGAGTTGTGAACTGCCCATTTACGCCTGGGCCTTTCATCAAAACAAACAAAACACAACACAACCAAAAACCAACCAAGAAAACAAACTCAGTCATCAAGGGTCCTTAACCGGTCCGTAGAAAGTGGGGGTCAATGTCCTCTCCACCTTTCTGTTCTCCCTTTCTCTGCTTCAGCTCCTGGATCTAAACTCTCATCGCAGCTGCTCCCAAAGTCCTCTCCGGTGATCTGGCCGTTTCTACATGGTAGCATTTTCAGTTACACGTGTCAAACATCCACAGCTCACAGCAACAAGTCAGACCTGCTGCTAACCCTTTACAATAAGAACTCTTCTCTTACAAGTAAGATGGAATAATAATCCAAGTGAACCAAGTGAAAAAAAGACCTGGCAGAAAATTCTCACAACTGACGAGCATAAGGGAAACTTCGCCAATGATGACTTTGAGTTTGCCTCTCCCACTTTCCTCTCTCTCTCTCTCTTTTTTCATTTGTAACAAGCTCATTTTTGTCACCGCAGAAGGTCAGTCGCTTTGTCCCTGTGGTCTCCCTAGAGATCAGTACTCATAGGATTTCATTAAATGGTAGAGGATTAGTAATTAAGTACATAATGCCAATAAGCAAGGACAAATGTGCAGCTTGGTCACTCATTAGATGAGATGAAAAATGGTTGGCCTGCATCCATCAGCATTGCTGTAATTGGGACAGGAAAGCAGAGCCACAGCTTGGGCACAGCCTCATACACCGGCAGGCTTGCACATCAGTTTGCAATGTGAATTTTCATTATTTGTAATAGGAGATTATTTAAAACCATGCCATTTTTAAAGAAGCTGTTTTATTATTTAGCAATCTCCTGAAATGGCACTAGTTTAACATATTTACCAGAGAGGTTTGGCCAGTGCCTGTCTTCTAGTAGCTGATTTTTGCTGAAATCAAGAGATTTCAGGCATACGCAGAGTCCTCACTCATCAGGTTGTCCCAGGTCAACTGGACTCTGGAGCTAGCTGCCTCCTCCATCCGTTCCCCTCCTTGCTTCTCACATGGGAAAGACACAAGATCACCTTCTGTTTCACTCTTGAGCCACCAGGATTAATATTTTGATGGGGGAGTCTGAAATCGCTGGCTGGAAGAAACCGCCCTACCATCACACAGTTTTACAACCAAGTATTCAGTGAACGCACCGGAGCAGGTTACAGCTTTTCTACAGCGCAGATGTCAATAGCAGGAACATCTCCTTCCTAGTGGGACTCCAGTGTCGATGAGTCAAGCTATTTTGTACAAACAACAACATGCTGTACAGATAAAAGGCTATCTTGAGAAAACCAGTAACCCTTTTATATCACTTCTCTGTGAGAAATATGGGGACATGCAGGCTGCTAAACTTCATTTTTTTTTTTTTTAGCTCAGATAAATTTGAAACATGAACAAAACCCTTTTCCAAGAATGACAGGGTATCATAAAAGCCGAATTTCCAAGACATAACTTCTAGCGCACGAGCAACATGGCTACCAAGGAGACTACAAGAGCAGAAATATGTTTCCCTTCTCTGGGGTACTCGAGTGAGCACTTCGCTCTCACCAACAGAGCCCCACGTGTGTTCAAATGGATGTCTCACGAGCAAGGGTTAGTCTCTGGCAAGAACTTTCAGATGAAGCCACAGGGGATGGCACTCAGGACACACTGCCCAGCCCCCAGATCAGCCAGTCGTTTACACAGCACATCTTTATCAGTGGCCTTCTCCAGTTCATCCATGGCTTCCTGTCGGCTCCCCTGGCAGCTGCTTCTGTCAACGATCTCTGTTTTCCCGTGGTCCACCTCACTGTTGTTGGGAAGAAATTGAGTATTTCTGTTCAGAGAAGAGGGAAGGCAGGGAGGGATACAGAATATTTGTAAATGGTGGGTGCCCAGGAATGATCCCTCTGCCGAAAGATTGTCTTGTTCCTTAGAAAAGTTAGGTGTAATATCCGGATTGCCATATGCAATCAAGGCCTGCTTTGGAATCCTCTTCCTTGTAGTTCCATTTCCGGAAAGGAATTAGAGTCCTGAAATTTTACATGAGAATATCTAACAGCATCTAAATACTAAAAATTGTCTGATCATTGGCCTACCCACCCCCAAGTACCTTTTATGAGTGGCCTGGGCCAGCCCAGCTTGTGCTCCACAGTCACAGCTTAATGGGGTCACTCACAACTGAACTAAGAAAGAGGAGAGGCAAGGGAGCAAAAAAGAATGAACCAAGAGAACACTAATGAACAACTTTAGCACTGGATGTCAGCTGAGATTTTTTTTTTTTTTGGTGTAGCTTTCACACACTGGACTTCATTAAACTTCCAGAAAGAGAGTATAATATGTATATTCTTCTTGATAGATAGGTAGATAAGATAGATCGGAGAGAATAAAATACTGAGAAAATAAATAATAATTTATTCATGTCCCCATATCACGTATTGGCACTTTGCCTTCATCGTTGTGGCGATCCAGTCATAAATAACATTTGTCTACCTTAGACTGGTATGTCTTATTCTTTGATCTTAATGTCAACCCACAACAGGGATCAAGTATTAGAATAATCTCATAAGAACACATAAGATCATGTCATTCCAGTTTATTGAAATGAGTACATTTATAGCTTTATTTGCATACAGAAAAGTGCACAAGAAAATAGGTATTTACAAAACAGTGGTGTGGCTGATCATCACTTTGAAATAATTCAACTACCTAGTAATAGTTACCTCCAGTTTTGCACATTTGGATATTTGGAAATTTGATGCACTATTTCCTTTTTTTAATGTACTATTTCAAGTCTGTGCTTGTAATAACTGAAGAGGAAGTCCAATGAAAAAGTATGCCATCTATGATTAACTATTAAACATAAAAACACAGGTCTTATGTTGGACTACTTGGGATTAAGCAACACAGGCTCAGGAGGCTGCCATCTTTGTTTGGACCCTGAGCAGTCATCTGTTCTCCTCTAAAGGTAACATTGTACATGATTAATACCCCCAAGAAACCTGAGCAGTAAGGGTCACGAGATGACACTAAAAAAAAGAAAAACACAAAAACAAAACCAAAAAAAAGAAACAAAAACCATAAACAAAACAAAACTCAACTTGGCAAGAACAAACCCTTCAGAGCTGTGCTAACAACAGAACTAAAAATGAACTGGGAAGATTCCAAGGTTATAAGGGAAAAAAAAATATTGCAGTCATTAGATTTCTCAAAGATAACCCCAAATATTTGTTCTTCAACTTGGCCTCCACTCTCATTTATCTTCCTGTTAGCCATGAGATTATGGCTCCAGGAACATTTTCCAGTTACTTGATTAAGGCCTTCCCGCCCCCCAAAAAGCACCTGTTGTGTTTTGCACAGTAGCATTCAGCTGCGAGACAGTTGGCTCTTCAGTTTATCATTTCAGAGTTGAGTTAAATTTTCTCCAACATGAACTGCTCTTCTAGAACTTGAACTTAGAAAAAGGATGATGTGTTTCACAGGAAGGATGCAGGCTGTGGTCCGTTTGCAGTTCTAGATTTTGGGACTAGCAGTAAACACACATGAAGAGACGCTCCGGATGTGTGAATTCTTAGACATTTGTCATGGGAGTCTTTTTTGCTTATGGGAAGGGTTCATGTGTTACATGAGCGCAGGAGCAAAACTGACTGAACAGAGAGAGGGAAAGGGAGAATAATGAATAATGCTTTTCCCTCCTTTGTCTTAGCTAGAGGGCCGTGGGGAGAAATGATCTTCAGTCAGAGGAGAAGCAGCAGCACCTTTAGTTGCATTAGATTCCAAAGTGTCTCAGAAGTTGGACTTGCTTCATTTCTACCTTGGCATTTCCTGTGATGGTCTGAAGCAATATTTCTTTCGAAAAGGTGCTGTGTTTGACAAAAGTCTGTAGGTTTTATGCTCTAAACTAGAACCCCAAAGCACCTTTGAACAGTAGGGACTTGAAAATTTACTCAAAACAGTAATGGTATAAGGGGTTGTGGCGGCTGTATCTTCCATTTAGAAGACAGAATGTTCTAGAAGGTTCTAGGGACATAGGCAGCAAGAAGATTCAGTAGGGAAGCTACTTCATTTACTTTTAAGCTAGAGCACTTTTAGGATCTTAATTTATTTAAAGCCATACATTGTTTATCGTTAACATAGACAAAAGGTGAAAGGCGTTTTACAAGTAGAAGAGGCAACAAGAAATAAGGCAACAGATAATATGCCAAAGCTGAAACAATGACAGACAGGACATGTTTGGCTACTAACTTTGTCCTTGACTATTAAGGCCAACCCTTTTGTTCCTCTGGACTTTCAGCATATCAATTTCCTGGAAGAGTATGGAAAAGAAAAAACCTGAGGTTAGAACTTTCAGATCGAACATCAAGTCATTATTTAAAATGTCAGTAATAGTATTCCCTAGGATCACTGTGAGGATTGAATCAGCAATAAAGGTGGAACATGGAATAGAGCAATTAAAACAAGTGCTCAATAATGTTAGCAATTTTCTCCCATGATCATTCTTCTCATTCAATCTATTAGTTTAACAGGCTGACCTCAACTATACCCTCTTCTAGACTCACAAAAGAAAGGGCTTCCAAAGAAATCCAGTTAATTTAGTGTAAGCCATCCTTCATGACTCTGAATGTAGTTCATTCTTCCCTGTTCAAATAAGAAAGAGCCTTTGCTAAAACTTCTAGTTGTTCAGTATCTACTATATTGCCTTGCTAGCATTAGAATCACCTAGATTCTCACTAAGTAGGCCTTTCCTCAGCTACAGAAGGGAATTTGCATTTTCAAGGGTGTTATCCAATTCTCTGAAACAAAATTCATGCAGAAGACAATTGCAGAAAATATTGTAACTGCAGAATAGAAGTGAAGGACAATAATGCAAGTGACTGTACATTGTACGCTATGCTGAGTTGCAAGATGCAATCTCAAATGCCTTAGTGGGCTACAGTCTCAACTCAGGGCGTGTGTCCCCTCTCCGTCCAGCACATCTACACTGCATGGGCTGCCTTCATGATCATTACTTCAAAGACAACCTAGTCATCAGGTCAACTAGGGTAGATGTGGGTTCAAGTGACCCTTCTTTTACTTAATAGTGGCCCCAATATGCAAATATAGCAACACTGGCAATTCAGACTATGCCAAAAAGAAGTTAGGAAGTGCTTCCTGGGCCCAGTGGCATGGTCTAGTGGCTAAAGTCCTCTCCTTGAATGCGCCGGGATGCCATATGGACGCCGGTTCTAATCCCGGCGGTCCGCTTCCCATCCAGCTCCCTGCTTGTGGCCTGGGAAGGCAGTCGAGGATGGCCCAAAGTCTTTGGGACCCTGCACCTGTGTGGGAGGCCTGGAAGAAGTTCCTGGATCCTGGCTTCGGATCGGCATAGCATCGGCTGTTGCGCTCACTTGGGGAGTGAATCATCGGATGGAAGATCTTCCTCTCTCTGTCTCTCCTCCTCTCTGTATATCTGACTTTCCAATAAATAAATAAATCTTTTTTAAAAAAAGTGCTTCCTTTAAAGGGAAAAAAGATGCTCAAAATGAATTCCATGCCAGTTTATGAGCTATGGTAAGAGCAAATCTTCCCATCGATGAAATTTTGAAGGACAAAGAGATTCCTGTTAATCTAGCTGTTAGATCTGAAACCATAGAAGCTTTAACTGCAATGTGGGAGGAATGGTCAGTTATGATGGAGAAGGCATTAACTTTGTGGGTGGAAGTTAAGAGCAGACTTGTTCTGATTGATATCAACAGGTTGCTTCAGAGAACACTGAGTTTATACCAAGAATTCAGCAAGGAATGTCCCCAAATCAGTAATTGATTTGGACTGGAAAACATAAAATTGCTGCCAAAGGCTACTTTCCAATGTCAATTTTGATGAAAGAAAGCTCTTCTGGCAAAAGATACCCATTCACTAGACTCTACATTGCTAAAAGTCAAAGGGAGCATTAGAACATAAACTATGAGCGAGTAGATTCACTATGGTGCCGTGTGGCAGTGGTGCAGGCACAGAGAACAGAGTGAAGAAACCACACGTTCTCAGAAACAAAAATGATGTGCCTATGCTTGGGCATTTTTTACCAGAAACGGTGGGTAGCAGCCAGTATGGAAAGATTTCATTGATGCTTCATCCCAGAAGTGAAAATACTTGGGATAAAAAGGGTTGAAATGTAAAGATGAGGAGGGCCTGTTAGTAGCAGACAAAAGGCGTGTACTGCATCTTCACTATGTTCTCACCCCGCTTCACTTTGTAATGTAGGAACTGCATCTCATAACGTGAAGAATGAGACCACGCTCACGTGAATTTTATGACAGTATATCCTACTTTACGACTGGCTGTCATTTATCTCTTACTTACCTAATTTACACACTCAAATTTATCATATGTATATATGCATTAGAAAAAACATAGGATACAGAGGGCTAACCATTGCCTGCATTTGACATGTCTACTGGGGCCTTAGAATGCATTCCACACAGACAAGGATGAGCTACTGTAAGTCCAGTTTTATCACTGATGTCATATTTCATATATTTATCTATCTGAAACTAAACCACAGACAGGTGAAGACCTAGGTTAATCGTCCTGATTGAATGTGCGAAGACTAGAAAAACTGGGTTTGAGTTCTTTCCATTCTTTCTATTGCTTTACTGGTACCAACTGTGCCCCCACTTTCCCTGACTTGGAGATAAGCCCTGTCATCTAGCTTCTACCTTTAAAGATCAGAGTCACTGCCACTTACTGATGAGGAAGAACAGGTGACACTGAGCCCTTACAGTCATCTAGGACAAAGTCCATGAAAGGACCAACATCTTCAGGAGCATTTTGAGCTTCCACAGCTTATGAAGACAATGCACCGCTCAGAGATTGACACGTCGTATTATGCCATGCTAACTTTCATAGCCAGTGTCCACAGAGACATAAAGGCAATGACCAATGACGATGACTTGTCTGGTTGACTTGTTTGGTACCTTCTGAAGGTTTTTGGAATTTGAACCTTTTGTAGGAATTTAAGTTATTGCTAGGATGATTTGTAATAACTATGAAGGTAAAAATGCTAGAAAACAGTCAAATACTGCATTAAGTTTCATTCCCCCCCAAAAATGTAGGATAAGACAGATACCCATATCCCCATGGATATCTTAGTTAGGTATAGATTTTCCCCTCTGTGACAACTAATTTCTAAAATTTGAATTTCACCTTTTATTCCTTGAGCCACCCTGTCTCACCAGATCACCCAAAGCAGCTCTAATGGGATCTTCTACTTACCAACGTTAGGCAAAAGGATTCCCAAAGGCATCCCTATTTTTATCAGATGTAGGTTGAGAAGAAACCATCTAAGGGGATAAAACCATCTAGTTAACAAACATAACCGCCGCCGTAAGAGAACATTGTTTATAATGAAGACGTCTCAGTTCCATTAAGACACATTTAGTTCCCACACCGGCAGAGTGTTGATTTGTGATCACCTATTAGTAAACTGTGATGTGTACATCCACATCAAAATCAAGGTACAGGTAAATGACATGTGCCTCCCTCACAGCGAAAAAAATGTTACTTCTATTTTTATAAAACTTTTAAGGTAACATTTCAGCTCAGTTTTCCCCTAAAATAGTTTCTTTCATGATCCCAGTTAAATCCCACTTTATATGTGATATTATTTCTTAAATTCAGAAGACTGTGATTCCTGTAAAAATCATCTTTCCCAGTTCGAGTGAAGGTTTGCTTTATGAATCTTAGTCCAACATATTTCCTTATCCAAAAATTACTATAAAAGTAAGGCTATAAATGGGGCTGGTTTGTTGGTTCAACTGGCTAATCTCTGCCTCCAACCACTGGTATCCCGTATGAGTGGCAGTCCATCTTCTAGATGCTCCACTTCTGGTCCAGCTCTCTGCTCATAGACTGGGAAAGCAGAGGAGGATGGCCTTGGGACCCTGCACCCACATGGGAGACCTGGAAGAAACTCCTAGCTCCTGGCTTCAGATTGGTTCAGCTGCAGCCATTGGGGGAGTGAACCGCCAGGTGAAGGATCTTTCTCTCTGTAAAATCTGTATTTCCTATGAAAATAAATAAATCTTTTTTTTTCTTAAGCAAAGTTAACTCGTGTGGAAGGAGCAGCTGCTTTAGTTGATACTTACAGAGGGCTGTGATGAGCTGAACGGATCTTTAGAGAAAGGGTTCTCAAACGCATTGTCAATAGATTTGGTAGCTGGCAAGGTACCTTGTCTCGAAGCTGGCTTTGGTGGTTCTAGAATGTGAAAAACCCAGGCAGTTAGTAGACGACCTTTCCCCCTGTGCAGACAGAGGTCTCCCAAATAAGATACTCATCTCTGAAATAGATTTCATATGCAACTACAGTTGCATACTTCCCCAATTTCCCTCAGTGAAACAAAAATCAAAACCAAATGCTAGGACAGAGCCATCCCTTCCTGCAATAAAAATCGTCATGTGTATTTCTCTGAAGTGGATGAGACTCAGAATTCACTCATTCAGAGCCATAGAATAGAGGTGCGGTTTTACCACGCAACCTTCCACAGTTCTTGGCAGCCCTTCTAAGAATGATCACTAGAGGGCAGCATTGGGTCAGCAGTCTCCATAACCCCGGAGTCAGAGGAAGACCTCTGATGAATGCGAGAGGTTTCCTGCCACTGACTCTGTAAATATCCGTGGATTCTGTAGGCAGAGAGAGCTCACCATTGATCTTATTCAACAGCTGATTAGCATCAAAATCATCGTGGTCTGCACTCTCCTGAGGAATGCCAACTTTGCTATTGAAGTAACTGGAAAAGGCACTTGAAGTCCCAGAAGCAGGCTGTTCTGCCTTCCTCGCAGGCACAGCAGGTGGCTGCCGCAGTTGGAAATCCTTAAACATTTCTTTCACTTCCTTGACTTCTGTATCCCCAAGGGGGTCTAAGGCAGTAAAGGCATCACTGGGGATATCCTTGGCAGGGCCAGTTCTGGGAGGGGGCTGAGGAGGAGTGGTCAGGAGAGAGGACAGCCCAGAAGGGTTCTGGGTAGACATAGTAGGAGTTGGAAAAATGTTACTCTGGAAAGGATTTCCTAAAGAGCTTGTGGAGGACCATGTGTTGGGGGCCACAGAGGCAGAAGGGCCCCAGATGGCAGGGGCCGGAGGGGAAGGAGACGCTGCGAAAGACACGGGTTGGTTCCAGCTTGGCATTGCTGGGCTTGGACCAAAAACCATCGGCTGAGCAAAACCTGAAGGTTGAGCACTCAGGATGGCGCCGGGGACGATGGGAGGCGGCTGATTGAAGACCACGCACGCTGGGTTCCAGGGTCCTGCCTGGGGCGGTGCAACTGGCACCCCACCTGAGGAAGAGAACACCTTCATCAGGAGACAAGCATGAGCAGGCTCCTGCCCTCCATCCATAAGACAAGCGCCCTCCTTAACCCTGGCAGCTGACCGAGAGAGGCCGAATCACTCTAAAGGCGAACTACCAAATGCAGAATAGACAACAGGCGAAGGCTCAGGGCGTTTCGATGCTCCTCCCCTTCGTACTTTTTCACTTTACTTATGAGATGATAACCCAACTCCATGGAGTTGCCTGGAGCTGGCACAATGCCTCAATTAGCTAATCCTCCACCTGCAAGCAGTGACATCCCATATGGGTGCTGGTTCTAGTTCAAGTATTTCCACTTCCCATCCAGCTCCCTGCTGATGGCCTGGGAAAGCAGTGAGGATGGCCCAAGTGCTTGGGGCCTTGCACTCATGTAGGAAAACAGAAAGAAGCTTCAGGTTCTTGGCTTTGGATCAGCTCAGCTTTGGTCATTGCGGACGGGAGATATTTTTTTTCTGTCTGTCTCTGCTAGCTGTAAATCTGTCTTTCCAATAAAAATAAATACATCTTTAAAAGAAATTATGAGCCTATATGTGTATATATATGTGCATATATACATATATATGAAGATTTATTTATTTGAAACTGGGAGATTTTTTTTTAATCTACTGGTTCACTTTCCAAAATGATCACAATAGCCAGGGCCAGCCATGCTGAAGCCAATCCAGAATTCCATCCGGGTCTCCCACATGGAACATCTTTACTGCTTCAATAGCCACTTTAGCGAGAAGCTGAGTTGGAACAGAGCAATGGGGCTCCAAGTATTTGACTCCAAAGTGGGAATGCCAGCATGACAGATGGCGCCACCACTCTCTGCCACGCTGATAATGAAGCAGCTAACTAAGGTGCTCCATCGGACCCTCTGAATTGTTGATTTGCTCTTTGCCCTTGACAGTTGGCTCAGGACTGGAGACTATCTCGAGTTTGTATAAGGACCCAGCACACTTGCATCCTTAAGAAATCATTTCCAATTCTTCCTTTTTGGTGCTGCCAAGGTGGACATAGCTACATAAAGGGAAGATTAAAATTTGGCTGATGCCAATCTAGTTTTAGAGTTTTCTATATAAAAGAGGAGGGAAGCCTGTTGTCCTGGGAGATCTATTTCAAATTACTCTTGCTAAGTATCACTCACTAAACCTTGTCTGAAGTTGAACAAAAGATTTAAAAGAAGGATGAAGAGAAGACAACAGGAAGCAAAAGTCTTCCAAGGCAACTGATGGCCTTGTATTGGCATCTGATCTTTGGGGGTGGATGGCTCCCCTTGTCCATCTTGCCGTATTTATCAGGAATCAGTTAAAGTGTGAAAATCCAGGACTCTGCAGTAACTGGCCTTGCCCCTTGCCACCTTTCTTGAAAAACTTCTTCCAGCTTTTTCTTTTTAAAAGTATTTAAACTTTTTTTTTTTAATTGGGAAGGCAGATTTACACAGAAAAGCAAAGAAGGAAAAATGTCTTTCATCCATTTGTTCACTCCCCAAATGGCTGCAATGGCTAGAGCTGAGCTGATCTGAAGTGTGGGGCCTGGAGCTTCTTCTGAGTCTCCCATTTAAGTGCAGGGTCCCAAGGCTTTGGACCATCCTTCACTGCTTTCCCAGGTCACAAGCAGGGAGCTGGATAGGAAAGTAGCCGGGTCATGAACTGATATCTATAAGGTATGCCAGTGCTTGCAGAAGATGGATCAGCCTGTTGAACCATCGTGTTGTCCTTCCAGTATCTTTTCCTAATACACAGGGTAGAGTCTGTTCTACCTCTTCCCAAATCTACAAACGATTCAGTTATAGTGTCACCACCAACAATCAACCTAAATCCAGGTTCATGGTTATTCAAGTATGATGCTCTGGTCTCAAATCTTACTTACTTTCAGTCTTAGGGGGCAGAATTTTTTAATGATTCATTTTTCTAATGTAATTCAGAAAAGGTCACCAGAGGCCAGTGTTTGATATAGGTGTCACTCTGCCTGTGACACCAGCATCCCACTGAGTTCTATGTCCCCCAAGTTCTGTGTTGTATACCCCAAGGCCTCAACAGGGACATCTCGCCAACAAGCTTTACTTCATCTGCATACATGAGCAGTTACGGGGTCCAGTTGTATTTTTAGGCTGACTTGTCAATATTGGCTGTAAAAATTCAGGCAGTAGGTACTAGTCTACAACATTCTGTGATGTGGTCTAGTCATGATACTGCGAGCAAGCTCTCCATCCTTCTGCACTGACCGGTTCCACTTGGTGGAGGGGTGGAGGAAGGGTATGTGTGCAAGGGACATGGTGGTATCGGTGTATGCAGAGGCCTGGAACATGTTGGCCTCTCACAACCACATGTACTTAAGGCCCATTCTCCTCTCCCTCCTCCTGCCTCGCTACTCTACTACTACTACTAGTCTCCCTACTATTGTTGTTAAATGGATTTATTATAACAGAACCAAAATATTTTCCTTTGCAAGGAAATAGCAGAGAAAGAGACAAAGAGAGAGAGAGATCTTGATGACTAACTCTTCAGGAGGCCAAGAGACTTAGGATTCCAGACTAAGTTTTACCGAAGTGGGTAAGACAGTCCTTCTTCTTCTGTAGTTCCCCCACCTCCAAGGCTCAATCTATTTGGGGCTTTTACAGGTGCCAAGAAGCAGAAAAACAAAGTCCTCAGTAGGACACCAAAGACTATTGCTGTGGTCTCTGAAAACTGTTCCATGGAAACCAAAAGAATGAGAAGCTCTGGGCAAGCAAGAGCAGGCAGACTTCCCTCAGGTGTCATGGTCCAGCAGTAGGAGGTCCAGACTTGCATTCCTGGGTCTCTGACAAAAATCCCATGTCTTCTCCCATCTCAGTGTACCCCTTAGCTTCAGCTGCAAAGTGCCTATCATCTAACTCTATTGAGACCCTCAGCTAGCCAAAATATTGGCAAAGACATTTTCAGGTGTTCAGAGACCGACCATGTGCCTGAGCCACTGTCACCAATGACTAGGAACATCACTGAGCCCAGAACCCAAGACTTCCATTCTGTATTTCCATTGGCTTCTCAGGCTTCACTGAGAGCCTTCTTGAAGTGTATTTCCCTTTCCAGAGGGATATATGAATTGATAAGGGCTAGGCCTTCAATCTAGTTAGAACAAATGGCATAGAAGCTATGCCTGGCGCCATTTTTCCCAACATAGATGACAGCCAAGGTTTTCACAGACCAACCCCTTTTCACCACTGAAGCTTTGGTATCCCTCACTCCTCTCTTCTGGGAATCCCTCACCAGGCAGGCCTGGAGCGTACAACGTTGAAAATAGATTTTTTTGTGTTGCATGCTAAGTCAAGGAGCCGAATTCAAGCTACAAGTTTAGAACTGAATGGGGGAAGGGTCCCACAGAAGTACACGTGGACAAAGGGTGCTTAGGATGTTCAGGTTTATGAAAAGGGAGGGTCTGGCTGCAATGCACCATTGTTTTACCAGCCCAAGTAACACAGCTGTTCCTAACCTTGTCTCCAGGCACCTACCTAGACCTGCAAGGGCCCCCACTGGGGCAGAAGCACTTGATTTGAAGAGATCCAGAGGGTTGGTCTGTAGGCTTGCAGACTGTCCTGTGGGTGACGTCTGGCTGGGAGGTTCTGAGATGGGAGGAGTGAAGATGTCGGACGCGAGCAGGTCATTTGTTGAAGACTGGCAAGGCAGGGAAGGAGGGAGAGGAGTCACTCAGCAATAGTGAAACGCAATGTCAATTCTGTGTCCTGTTCTTCCCCCTGCATCTGGGAGCCACAGAAAGGACTTCCCTATTATTGGTCAACAATCCTTAAAAACTATAATAAATATAAAAGACAAAGCCAAAAGGCAAAACTAAGAAAAAGACACAGATTTGTGCTATGAACAGACCATTGGGTCTTAGTGACTGATACAAACTAGGACTCGCGCAGCAACATTTCTTTGGCTCATTCACACATTTGAATCCATCTCGTCTCCTTATTGGTTAAAAGCTAAAAGCTTGAAGCTGAGAAAGGACAACTATAAGGATGCTGAAATTCCTGATCATCCCGCTGCATTTAAATTAGTCTCCATTGAGTCCATACAACCTTTTAATTGTTAAGCAAGCCTGCATACAGTCCTCTGAAAGCTTTTAAAAAGATGCCTTTAGAAAATGCATTTTAAGTTGCTTTGGAATAAAGCTGATAGTATGCGAGTTTCCTTGAAGGGAATGGGTTAATGAAGTTAGCACTCATAAAAGGAGACAAGCTGGAGAATTTTCCACTGGGGACATTAATGCAAGAGGATGGTTGTGCAGGGCACGTGTTAGTGTGGGGCAGGTACAAAGGAGTCACAAGAACTCTGGCCCTCCCCTCCCAGAACATGACAATTAGACTTACCCGAGAGGCACAGAGCATAGCAGCATTAAAAATGGAAAAACTTGTGTTTAGTATAATCAGTGATAGGGCATGCAAACAGAAGGCAGGGGGTGACAAACACAGCGAAGGTGTTTTCAAAGGGAGGAAACTCCTCCTGGGAAGATGATGTGCCTCACCCCACCTTCAACCTCACAGCCACACAGGAAGCTAGGAGAGCAGCGGGTAAGAGCGCGCACGTCACACCACCCTCTGATACCGCACATGCACTCTAACTGGGATGTGCAGAAGATAATTCACCTTAGCAGTCCTTCTGCCTCTTCCTGGTTTGGTACTTTGTGGAGGTGGGATAATGGCTATGGAGTCATGTAGTGAGGACTGGACAGGGCTTTCCGCGTCCTGTCTGACGCCATTCGGTACAGAGAGTCCTGGGGGAGGGCTTCCCACAAAGGGGTTCGGGGAGGATTGCGTATGGAAGCTGTTCTGTTCACTTTCAGAGACCCCATTGTGAGTTCTCACTGCCGGCTGGGTTTGCGTACTCGGAAAGGGCCACGGGCCTGCCTGAGATTCCTGCTTGCCAGTCCGGTTAGAGATCTGGTCAAACTGCTGACCAAAGCAATCAGCATCGCCATTCAGGGGCCCGTTACTCAGGGGAGCAGACAAACTACTCAAATTCTCTTTCTTCTGCTCTGGCGATTTGAGGGAATCAAACGAAGAGGGTGTCGATTGGTCGGACTGTGCAAAAGGATCATCACGGAAAGGATCAGGATTAGGGGTGGGAAAGAAGTTGAGATTGGCAGAAAAGGCATTTTCAGGCAAGAAGGACGCCTGAGGCTTTGGTCGAGGAAGAGAGCAGGAGGTGATGCCATTTGTTAGGAATGGATTTTCTCTTAAAGGTTTTTGATTGGTGTCGATTTCAGAGTTTAGATCCACTAACAGGATATCTTTGCTCTCCTATCACATTTGGAAAGAAAAAAAAAAATAAAAAGAAAGTGTTAGTGCATGTTACAATTTCAAACAAGAAAATGACTTAAGATAACCAGGATATTGAAATCCCCAGATTTTGGTTGTGACCAACTGGTTGACCACTACCATCAATATCCTGAGTGCATTCATTGCTGTAGATTGGGTCTTGCCCCACCTGCTTTCCTTGATGAAGTCTTACTTTGATTAGGTCTCAGCTTTGTTACCCTCTTAGTACGTGAAATCTCACTGTTTAAGGTGTCTGCTACTCTGATCCCCTACACAGCCTGGTTCAGTTTGTTATCAACATTGTTTCAATTCATGCCTTTCAATCTGAAAGGGAGTAGATTATGACTGGGAAACTTGAAAGTAAGAAGTCACCTGAGCTGCCTGGCCTACCTTCCCATCTGATGTCCCCAGAATCCATTGTAATATCCTCTTACTGAGTGAGAGAATTCATTGAAAAAGATATTCATATATCATACTTCTTTATTGAGTCATCTAGTTTAAGGTCAAATACATTTCCCTGGCCTAGCTTTCCACCTGATGTACACATGATCCTCAGAATCTATGGCAACATCCCCTCGCTGAGTGAGAACATTTACCAGCTAAGCTATTCATATTCCTTTACTGTATGATGAAGCTTAAGGTCAAATACACTTCCTTATTATTTCCATTTGTCTCTCTAAGGAGGAAAAAAATGTTTTTGTTTTATGTCTACAGATATCTCTTCAAAGATTTGACTCCTGCAGAATGTGCTAGACAAGCAGTATCTCTCATTCAGACCACCAGAGTGCCTCTCTCCTCTTTTTGTACACATCCTTCTATCAACCTGACATACTAATACCAACCTGATTTACTACACATCAGTCTCTCCCCCGTGCATACCCTTTTCCTAACAGGCTTCCTCAGCTTTTAGGGAAAATGATTCTTGTTTGGAAAGCGTAGGAACCACTCTGCGATCCATAGAAGAGACAGCGGAACCAGACCTCACTGACATTTCATTTTGGGGCTCCTTTTACTGTGAGGAATAAAAAGACATTTCTAAAAGCCAGCTTTTCTCTTTGTAACAAGAATTTGTCACCAGAAAGAGCTTATAATTAATGTTTTAATCAAAGAAATGGACTGGAAGCATATATCTTTTACGATCAAGAGGTAGGATAAGATCTACTAGAAAAGCTTTTGATTTCAATATGTCATCACTCGTTATGAGCCACCTCTGGGTTAGAACCGTTGGGTGTTCACTGCTGACGGAGTTCTCCTTTTCAAATACTTGAGAAGTTCTTAGGACACCAAACAGGAGGCACAATGTTAGACTTCTGAATAGTCATCCTATAAGTAAAATGTATAAGGCTCTCCTCAGGTTGGGTTTGTTGGCAATTCAAGATGAACAGTCTAATTCACAGTCTACGCCTAAAAGAAGAGGGGCTCCACTTCTTTCCCCTTGGCCGGTCCTTCTTCAGTTCCTTGTTGGACTGTGAACATTTGCATCTTTGTGACCACCACTGAACGCATGAGAGATAGAGACTGGAAACTGGAAAGTGAATGATTCCTCACTCTTAGGGCTGGAGGCAGCATAAATGTCACACTGACTCATCAGTCTCTCCAACCATCCAAGCCTGTGAAATTCGATCTTCCCTTCTTGGTGGCTTTCTGCTTCTCCTTATATTAAAACAAGCTTCCTTAGGCCAACTTCCAAAATGATTTCTCATTGGAACACAAGTTATTCTAGACTACTTACTGCCTCATTTCCTCATTCTTCAATGACCTGGCTGAAAATTAGATTCTTGACACAATCTTTTCCACTAATCTTTAAACTTAACCTGTACTCAGTCCAAGCCATCTTACGGGGTATACGAAATGTATATTCTAGAGTGCCCATAACATTTGAACTCTGTGCCCTGATCCCATCCCTTGTACCAGATCTAACCCTCTTGGAGGAAGCTTGTGCCTTAAACTGTCTTCTTATAACCACTCTGCTTTTAAATCATAGTTTTTACAGTTAGAGGTATCATTCTCCTTTCCTTCCTGTTTCTTTATACCATCCCCTCCTCCTTCTTCCCTTCATCTTTTTTTCTTTCGTTCTTTTTTGATGACACTGTGGAAGGATAACATCCTAAGGTTTTTCAATAAAAATTTTGTTCTAAGGAATGTCATGTCTGCAACATGAGCATTACTTCAAAGGCATAGAACTTCTCTGTATGAATTTGAAGAGAAAGCTATCTGGAACCACCAATAGCACTCAGTTCCTTTAGATTTCCTTCTCTTCTCACATTACAGAGTAATTTTGCATTCTTTAACATGCTGGATTTTACTAAGAAGAGAAATATCAACTTTGTGACCTGCGAATATGGAGTCAGCACATAGGACGTATTGTCAAAGCCTTAACAGCTCATAATTAGCCTTGTTAACTTTCTCTTCTTTATTAGGTAGTATCTATTTTGATAGTATTTACTATTTTAATTGTGTTAAGCTAAAACTTGAATTTCTATAAATCAATGTCATAGACGTGTGAAGTGTAACAAAAAATAAAGCTTGACATTAGTCACTTTATCATATCCTTTTCCAGAATTTTCTAAAGTGTACAAAAGTAGATTCAACATTTTCCACACCATTCCCATGGAGTCCCACTTTCAATCTTGAGTGCTTTGCTCTCTTGCAATGCACTTGCTTACATGGCAGATACACAAATAGGTTGCTCAGACATCAACTTTCTCTGGTGACGAGTTTGCTAATGGAGGGGAAGGCAAAGTTGTCTAGAAATAAAAAGGATTTTACTGCAGGATGATCCTCTTGGAGTCATCTAATGCAGTACTAGAAACTTTATTCTTTCTTAAGAGGTAATAAACATTATGAAGAATGAATGAGTTAGGAAACAGGCTTCTCTGCTGCAATCTCCGTCAGGGTCTTGAAGATGCCTCTGGGCCCCTGGATTTGTCTACAGTTAGGGATAGGGACCAGTTCATCCAAAACTCTTCTCTGTCGTTTGGAGCTGGAGGTGTGCTATCCAGGGAGGTATTAACTAGCCTGGTCATCTCTCGGGAAGTGAAAATCTTCCTGTTTCTGATCTGCTGTTTGAGTTCTTATGACCTTCTACGTCCTGTAGTCTTGCTTCATAATTTCTTAGCTAGACATTTCTCTCATTATTGTAAATTTTTTCATCTAGTTAAACTGCATTTTTATTGTTCAAGTCTAGGAAGTCTTGACCTCAGAAATATCCTTTAACTTGAAAAACACCCTGTAATTAATGATAATTGATAGCTTTCAAGATTAATTTTAATGTTGGTTTGTGTTCTAGGCAATGGACAGTCTAGTGGTGTTGTACATTTTATGCTGTGCTTTGCCAACAGGAAAGCTTAAATGAATAATAGAAGCTATAAGAAAGCATTACAAATTACACAGATGTTTTCATTTGAAGCCTGTTTTGGAAAGATGAAGACTTGGGTATTAGCCTTAGATATGGATCTTTTTCCTGGATCTATAAAGGCTTTTCTCTGAACTACCAACTTTTTATATGCCAAGAAAAATATTGCTCCATTCTCACAGGGTTGCTGTACAACAATCAATATTAAGAACATTCAATATACTAGAGTATTCTATATAGAATAAAGAATTTTTTCCAAAAGGGGCAGGCTTTATTTAAAGATAGCCGACCATTCTATTTCTTTAAAATGATATCTCACAGCAATCTAGTACACTGCCACAGAAAGAGAGGCCAAAAAAAAAAAAGAAACCAGGAATCTTTAATTCACAAAAACTTTCATCAGGTGCATACATTTATACAAAAAAAAAAAAAAGTAATTCAGTTCCTTTTTCTGAATCTAAGTAATACCAAGAAAAATTACAATGCCTGACCTTTTGCTCAGATTAAACTTCTACGCAATCTCATTTATCATAATAATTGCCGATAGGATCCAAGGCAGACATCAAATTCAAATTTACATTAGCCACCATTGATCCTTCCTGTCGTCACACAAGTTTCAATGAGATGCTCGAGATTTCTAGCTGACTGTATTTTGTTGTACAGATGTCATATCTATTACATTGCAAATTTAAAAACAAACACTTACTGTTGGACTATTTAGGTCAGGAGGTGTAGACATGTCCCCAAACAAATCCATCTGGTGAACACCCTTAAAAAAGTATTTTGATTAGATTCAGATGGTCTACTAAAAGATTACTTTCTTGTAACTGTTTGTTTTCTAAATTAGAGAAAAACAGTTATCGTAATTGGATTTTCATTTGTAACTAACACAGACTTAATATTAGGCTATTTAGGTTGGGAAGTGTAGACATGTCCCCAGACAAATTCATCTAGATCACACTATTTAAAAAAAAAAAAGTATTTGGGGCCCAGCGCAGTGGCCTAGTAGCTGAAGTCCTCACCTTGAACACGCCAGGATCCCATATGGGCACTGGTTCTAATCCTGGCAGCCCAGCTTCCTATCCCGCTTCCTGCTTGTGGCCTGGAAAAGCAGTCAAGGATGGCCCAAAGCCTTGGCACCCTGCACCTGTGTGGGAGCCCTGAAAGAGCTCCCAGCTCCTGGCTTTGGATTGGTGCAGCTCCTACTGCTGTGGTCACTTGGGGAGTGAATCATTGGACAGAGGATCTTCCTCTCTGTCTCTCCTCCTCTCTCTATACATATATCTGACTTTGTAATAAAAATACATAAGCCTTTTAGAAAAAGTTTTTGACTTTGATTTCATTGTGTCTACTCAAAAGATTACTTGGTATACTGACATTTACACTAATATTTAGGATAACAGCTATCATGACAAAATTTTTACATAAATTTGATATTCATAATTACAGGAAGTAGACCATGTTTCAGTAAGGAAGAATCATAACATCGCATACATACCAATCTCAGTTTGTTAGTTTGTTCATCAAAGTTCAGTAGGGCCTCACTGCCATTCTGAAAAAATGGGAAATATTGAAGGAATTAGCCCACGCTTGTTCCCTACAGAATTTGTTTTCCCATTCTTTTGGCTCATTAAACAGAGATGACTTTGGCATGCATATTTAACTATAAATCTTCTATGGCAAGAGAGGTTATAACACATAGTAACAAGTGAGATGTGAAGAGGGCTTAGGCTGGTGGTGGGCAAGAACCAAGACACATCTCCCACACAGTTCCCGAGTCAAGGTGCGTGCTTACCTCTTCTGCTTTGTTGGCCTCTTCCGTCTGAAAAGAAAGCACAGATTGGGTGATCTTGTATCTGGAGTTAAAGGGTGTTCAAAAAGAACAGGTACACTAATTGCTCTGTATTCATCTCTCCTTTCCATATCAGCACTAGATTAAACAAAGATACTGAATTTAAACTTGATTGTCCTATAAAGTTCCCAGAATCAATATGAAACTTGCAGGGAGAAAAGATTTAGGGATTGGAAATCAGAAGGGTCGAATTGTAACATCCATCCCTTGCATTGCGGAGAGGAACAGGCAGTACATTTCTGTATTTTTTCATACTTTGAGGAGTCATATAGAAGCCAACTTCATGTATATATATATATTTATATATATATAAATAAAATTATTAAACATTGTCATGATTCAACAGTTCCTATATCAGGTTGTACTTGCCTTTTTCTTCTCTTCTTCCTTTTTCTTTACATTATAGATAACTTGGAAAAGGTCTTTAAGATCAACAACTAATGGCTCAGCCTGAAGTGAGAGAAAACACCATTGTCAGAATTTTAAGCTTAGTTTCTTTTCTCTGTCTTCCCCAATCCCATCAAAACATCTTAATTGTCTCCCCTGTTTTGTAGGGAATCTTCACTTCCCCCCCACCCCACCATCTTGGGTCTCCAGAAACATAAGGACAGCAGAGTTAAAAAGAATCTACCTTTGAAGTCCCATTAAGGTTTCTGCAGATAATTCACTATTGTTCTAAATTCAGCTAAGAGAGTCTATCTCACAATCTTCTTGCCACACACACTCCATGATTACTACTGACATTCGGAAAAGATTCCTTAGACCAGTGATGAGAATTACTCCATGAGCTATTTAACCCTCCTACATCCAATTGTTTCCAGTCCATTTTCTACATTGAGTTAGACACTTGAATGTTTGGAGGACAAGATGGCAGATACACCATGAGGCTTAGCGCTTACCTGTTGCCCTGTTTTTATGGCAAAAAATTGATGCTGGCCTTCTCCTCCACATACATAACCAAACGCCCGGTTGTCTGTGACATCACGGGCAATGAAAGAAATCTTGTTTACTGGATGTTCATGCTCTATCACCTAAAAAAGCAACACAATGAATGATTGAGAAAACCAGAACCAACTTTAGATTATTTCTAGTAATCACTGGGAATATGTCTGCAGATGTAAAAGCATATGAGTGGAGATTTCTGTAGTCTTTGAAAGCATAGTGACATTACCTCTTGAGAAAGAGCTCCAAAGTGAAGGAAGAATCGACAACAAAGAAGGATCCCATTAAAATGTTGCCATTTAATTCTCCTTAATCCAATGGTCTGATGTCACATAAGCAAGAAGATGGAGATTAGCAGGCCACGGATTTCTAAAGAAAGAAATCCAAGCTGCTCCAGGTAGGTCTGTTTTCCTGACTCAAAGACAAACCTCAATGGACAGTGAGTAAGTTTGAGGATCCTTGGGTGGTGGCTCATAGTGAGTGAGGAAACATCTTCTGTATCCCTGGAGCAGGTGTTCTAGTACACTCTGGAGGTTACCAAACCTTGTCAACATTTGTCAACATGGCCTAGATGGCTGCTACATGAACTCATGCAAATGGTTGAATCCCCAAGTTGATGACACCAAGAGAGTGGAACTTTATTCACTCACAATCTCTAAGCAGGCCTTGCGGAAGGTCCTTAGGTTATTAGGGGTGTGTTCTTAGAAGGCCCTCAGGGGAGAGTTGGTGAAAAAGGCTCGAGTTAAGCCCTAGCTTACCACATGATCTTTTCCTTGCCTCTGTGTCCCCTCTTGCTATGTGATTCAATGCTACTTGAATCCGTGGCAGTAAGATGCCAGCATCAGATTTCAAACCAATGGAGCTGCCCAACTTTTACACTGAGCCTTCAGAATTGTTGATAGAAACAAATCACTTTCCTTTAGCTTGTCTTAGGTATTTCATTACAGTAATGAAAAAAATGATTAATATAATCATCTATGTCACTAATTAGGAGTTATAAGTGGCAGAGAGCTTACTAACTTAGTAGTGCCTCCCTTCATATTTTTCTCCCTTTCTATTGATTCTTTCAAGTAGGTAACAAAGTTAAACTTTTTAAAAGAAGTATGTTTTACAAGACTGAGTGAGAGAGTAAATGTATATTATGTGTATGTGTGCGCTTCTACTTGCTTGCTCACTCACTAAATGCCTGTAACAGTTGGGGCTTAGGCAGACTGAAGCCAGGGGTACAGCAGAACTCAATCTGGGACTCCAAGTGGATGGCTGAGACTTAATCTATCCCATGTTGCCTTGCAGCAGGTTGGGCATTAGCAGGGAAGCAGATGAAGTAGAGCTTAGACTCAAACACTGTCACTCCAAGATGGAACAAGTGACTTCTTTAACTGCTGTGCCACATGCCCACCCAGGGTTCAGCTCTTCAAGGATCTCTCTAAGTGACAGAACTTGCCTTGGGCTTTGGGTTTCCAATGCTGAAAGCAGCTACAAAGCTTATATTGCCTATCTTTAAAAGGTTTTCAGAGAAACAAAATGCTAGAGAAACCTGACACCTTTCCCTGGTAGGTTCAGGCAAAGCAAAGCTGGCAGACTAGAAGGAAATATAAAGCCAATGGTGTCTGTGGCCTTGAGAACCAGCTGGCTTGGCAAGCATGCACTGAGGTACCTGCATCCTAGGGTTCTGATGTTAGATAATGGGTATTTATAAGAAAGGATGGGTAGTGCCTAGGGGTCTCCCCCAGCGCTTTCACATGATAGCAGTGTTTCAGAGCAATGAAAATGAGCTAAAGTCAACATTCCGTGGAAAAACCTTATGATTATCTATTGGGGAGATAAAAAAAAGACCATGAGACTCTGATTGATAACTTTTGGATAAGACTCAAAAACAATAAAGCATAGTTGTTCATATGTAACAGAAAATAGAAACTGTAAAAATAGAATAGGGGAAAAATAGAATAGGGTTATATCTGTGGGATGAGGAGGCAGGGAAAAGAAGGAAAAAAGTTAGATGTAATGAGTAATGTTTTCTGTAGGTAAGCTGGTAAATTCACATAATTAACATATTAAAATAAAATCATGCCCGGTGTGGTGGCCTAGTGGCTAAAGTCCTTGCCTTGCATGCACCAGGACCCCATATGGGCACCAGTCCTAATCCCGGCGGCCTTGCTTCCCATCTAGCTCCTGCTTTTGGCCTGGGAAAGCAGTCCAGGACGGCCCAAGACCTTGGGACCCTGTGCCTGCGTCAGAAACCCGGAGGAGGCTCCAGGCTCATGTCTTTGGATGGCTCAGCTCCAGCCTTCGTGGTCACTTGGGGAGTGAATCATTGGATGGAAGATCTTCCTCTCTGTCTCTCCTCCTCTCTGTATATCTGATTTTGAAAAAAAAAAAAGTAATAAATAAATCTGTAAATCTTTAAATAAATTAAAACCTGCAACATCAAAAACAAGGAGTAGGGACTAAATCTAATTTTATATAACCAAATGTCCAATAAACAAATGCCCATTTAAAAGCAATAGTATACCTGTATTTATAGGTGCAGAGTCACATCTACTATAGGAAATGATTTTCAAAACAAAATACCATTGACTCCTTGCCTTCTATTATGTCTGCTAATTTGGAAAAGTAATTTTTGTAAGTGCTATTTTTGTTTTGTTTTTGCACAGAACTCTGAGAAAAAGGGAAGGTGAAATTGGAGTAGCAAATTGTTGGTCAGACTCAGCCGGTCAGGTATGTGTCAGTGGGTGTGAATTCTTACCCCAGTTTTCTCGTCAATTATTTTTATCCCAGAGAGGGAAATGTTGACCCAGATCCTTTGCTTGTGTTGTCCCTGAGACCGGCCAGCGGCTGCCATCCCCTGATAGGTTGAAGAGATGGGAAAAAAATATTTAATTAGAAAAAGGACCTAACCTGTTTCTAAGACTAAAGCATTCAGAGACAGTTAGCTTTGCTTTCAGCTTGGATTGGCATTTACAGAAAAATTAGACATCTTTCATAAAACACAATAAATAGGATGAATTAAACACACTGGCCCTTGGACATGTCTTAGTTACATGAATTACAATGAGCTGGACAAGTCACTCTAATCATCCTGACCTCAGAATAGGCACAGAAGGAAGCAAGGGCCTGACGTGAAGGTCCAGGACTTGATGTTCTTCTAAGCCTTACGTTACTTAACAATCATTATCTATTTCATTAGCTTCCCAAACTAACAATATTATTGAAAATTTTAAATTAAAAAAGGAAACGGAAGGTCTCACACATTTAACATGTTTTCAGGTGGAGTTATGAGTTTTACTTGAACATTACCCAGTTCTAAAACAGGGTAAAAGTGGGATGAAAAAAATGCACGTTTGTGCACAGCTTTTATAATAATTCAGTGATGGAATGGGGAAACATAGACTTGGTTCATTCAAATATCAAATCTCCCAGACTGAAAAGGCTCCTAAACCCCTGATGTGCTTGATTAAGTTAGGTCTCTAGAACAAGCAGGCAACCAGTTCATGAGTTTGACTGGACCAATCTACAAGCACACACATTTTTCTTTTTTTCAAATAACAGATGCAGGTAAATATGTTCTCATAAGACAATGCTATTTGACATTGGATTAAGCCACAAATGGAGCATTCTTCTCCCTTTTACCTTTAGTTTCATCATAGAATCTTGGCTCATCTTATCCCCTCTTGCGTCTGGCACATCATCAATGCCAATTAGCTTGGCCTTATATTTTACACCATCACCTTTGAATCTGGCCAAGAGATACTCATCTGTCTTTTCAGAGCCTGAGAATAGAAACAGAGCAAAAACTGTAAGATCAGATCTAGGCTTGACAAAATACACGTATGGATCCACAGTTGAGCAGTATAAATTTTGGCTATACTATAATCATCAGATACACAATACCCTACCCTGTTTTATTCTGACCTCATTTGGCACAATCAAACTCCATAAATGCAGATGGGATTGCGGTAAAGAGAAACAAAACTCTTAGAAGTAAAAAATTGACTAAATCATGGAAAGTTATGGGATTTAGAAGTGGAAGTTGGGGATATTTCTCATCATAACCTTTTAAGGTTTTGAGAAAATGTCAAAAGGATAAGCTCTATTTTCTTAATGAAAGAAAAACAAGCAGCCACACAATTTCCTTCCAATAAAGCAGGGGGAGTTCCAGTAAGCAAACTCCCTTGAAAATCACTAAGACAGATAATTCATCTTCATAACTTCTTACAAGTATAATAGTAAAAGGGAAGAAAATCACAGCATATCCTCAAACTATGAATGACAAAAGACTATTTCCAGCTTCTTGTGGAGCCTCAGAGGACAGTCTAATGAGATAGAATCTTAAGTTTTGTAAGTCAATGGTATAAAGCAAAGCAGTAAGTGGACTACCAGAAGACAACCCTGTAGCAATTGGTGATTCCATTACTAAGTGAACAAGAAGCTGCAAATGTTTTCCAGTAGTGCCCATTTTGTACAATCACTATTGCAGAGATAAATTCTCTCACTGTGGAATGGAGCAGCCTCTTCTGAGAAGGTACCACTCCTCTGTTCAGGAAAACTCCAGAGTAAACCGAGGTGGGAGCAAGAAGGAACCTTCAACCCCCACCTCACAGTTCTCCTGACATAACCACTCCTTGCTCCCTCCACGGACCGAGAGGATCCCTCCATACCTTTCTTCTTCTCTTTCTTTGATGGTGCTTTCGGAGCTGCCTGTGGATCAGGCTGACCATTGCTTGTGCTTGCTTCTACTTCGTTAGACATGGCAGGAGGGTAGGCAGGAAACCCCAGCACCAGAAGAAACTTAGTGCCAACAGACGGTCCTCAATGGAGATGGCTCCAATGAACATAAGCTGGAACAGACACCTGTAGGCAGAGTTTAGAGGTATAACAAAAACAGAGCATAGTAAACCCATACTTTGCGTCCTGATAACCTACAACCAGTGATTTCCTTTTTGTAGTTCTTTGAAATCATTTTGTTTCTTCTCTGTTGGACTTGTCTCTGAAACCACGGAGTAGGTAGGATTATTTCCTTTGTAATTTCCAAAATGTAAAGAGTATGCTAAGTAGGTTTTTCTTTAAGCACTTAATGTCTGGTAACGTATAATGACTAGCTGGCTAAGCAGTTTATACAGCAACTTAAGCATAAAAATCATATATTCAAGATTGAATGCTAAGCACGAAAAGGTTGCAACTGGCCACTGAAATTGTGCATTGCGAATTTCAGTTCCTTATGATAATATTTATCTATTTGAAAGAGTTACAGAGAAAGGGGGAGAAATAGAGGATGAGATCTTCTGTCGGCTGGTTCACTCCCTAGTTGCCACAATGGTCAGGGCTGAGTTAGGCTGAAGCCAGGAGCCAACTTTCTCCTGGGTTTTCAATGTGAGCAATGGGGGCTCAAACACTTGGGTCCTCTTCCACTGCTTTCCCAGGCCATTAGAAGGAGCCCGATTAGGATTGGAGCAGTTGGGACATGAAAGGTTGTCCATCAGGATGCCGGCCTCCGATGGCAGCTTTACCTGCTTTGTCACAACACTAGCCCAAAGTTTCAAATTTTTACTAAGCCAGCTAAAATTATGCTTGACTTGCTTCATAACTATCAACATGCTTTGCAGAGGTCAGTCCTGATTCTCACCTACTATGAAGTTTTAAATGGTTTTAGCAATAAACTTTTTATAGTCTTAGCAGCCTTTAAATACAGATATATATGTATAATCTGTGTATGATTAATGTTGCATGAATTGTTGTGCTTGGAGAGTTACCAGTAAATTTCAAAGACACCTGACTGTGGACAGCTGGGGGGACAGTATATTTACAAAAAACAAAAAACCTTACACAGTGGAAGACTCTAAGCCATCATGAACTCAGGACTTACCTGAGTTACTTACTCTTGTACTTGTTTCACTCTGAAAGAGTCTTAGTGGCCCTGTGAGTACTATGATACAGTATGTTTCATTTTCCAGAGAAAAAGCCAAGGCACAGGTTTTACTGCTTCTAAGCTGCAGGACCAGGTTTCTAACCCAGACTGTCTGGCTCGAAGCCAGAGCAACTCAACGGCTCCTTAATCAGTCTCACCTTAGAAACCACATTCTAGCTACAAAGACGCTTTATTACACATCTGTAGTGACACCTCCCATCCCAATAGGCCCAAATCCTAATCCCTCGAACTTTTGAACATAACCTCTTGTGGGCAATGGGTCTTTTTGGTTATCATCAAACTAAGGATCTTGAGACAAGATCATCACCAATTTAGGGACAGATGACAGGTGCCCTTTAAAAGAAAGGCAAATGAGATTAGAAACAGAGATACACCGAGGGGAAGGCTATGCGAAGACAAAGGCAGAATAGACTGGACTGATGCACCTGTAAGCCAGAGAAAGACAACACCTGCAAGAGAGGAATTATACATGCTTCCAGAAGGAACCAAGCCTTGGGTTTCCTACTTTATAACGGTGACAGAGTAAATTCCTCTTGCTTTAAACCACCATGTTTGGGATAATTTGTTACATTAACCCTAGGAAATGAATATGCTTCCTGTATTTTGTATGCCACGACTGGTTTCGCTGTTCCAAAATCTAGTTCCTTGCATTATGACACATAAATCTACTAGTTGTTACCAGATTCATTTCTAATTTCAGTTCCAGAATTACTTTATTAATTATGGATACTTCATTTCAAATCAAATGTGCATTTACCCACATTAACATTGGGATGCGAGATTAAACTCTGACCTAAGGAGACACATATGTTTCCCCACCACCCCTTTCTCAGTGGAGCTCTTTCTTTTATAAGCTTCTCATAGGGACCAGAAACTTCTACAGTGCTTAAGACACCCATATCTGATACTGGAGTGCTTAGCTCCTAGACCCTAGTTCATTTTCCAATGCTAGCTTCCTACTGATGTGTACCCTGGAAGGAATCTGTGATGGCTCAAGTACTTGTTCCTGTCACCCATATGGGAGGCCAGGTGTGACTTCCTGTCCCTTGGCTTTCACCTGACCCCAAGTCTGGCTGTTGTGGGTATTTGGAAAAATCTCTCACTGCCTTCAATTTATAAGGAAGGAAGCAAGGAAGGAAGGAAGGAAGGAAGGAAGGAAGGAAGGAAGGAAGTCAGTCCGATCTTACCTAGATCTGTGATCCAGGAGCACTCTGACCATCCTCTCATGGACCTTTGAGTTAAACATTTTCAGGCTGATGGCCTCCTGCTTCTGCCTTTTCATGTTCTCTGTCCTGCAAGAGACTATCCCCCTCAACTGTGCTCTTGGCCTCCTGCCCCCCCCCCACCCCAGCTGCATTGCTTTTTATCCTGTTAGGGCTGTCCTACTGCATGAATCAGACATCTGCAACTTTCTGAACTTTCTTCTGGTCCTACCCCAATCTCACTTTTGTTTGTAACTTAAAAAAAAATGGGGGGGGGGGGTGGGTAGCTCTTATGGCAAGCTTGAATCTTTACTGCATAGATTCTGTTTGCAGAATTGGCCTGATCATGTTTTTTTTTTTAAATAAAGATTTTCTAAGTATTAGAATACAATTAGAGGCTCTCTGTTGAATGCTGAGTGGGCTCCACTTGAGTATTTAGGATACAAATTTAGATTTCTGTATTCAGTATGTGAGGTTCTTAACTATTTTGTTCCTGTCTTCAGCCTCATTTCCTTTCTCTCCTACATTCAATTTAAAAACGGATTCTATACATGCTCAACTTTTCTGAGCTTTCCCAACATCCTCTATAGCCCAGTTACCTATTTGTTCCTAAAGTAATACCTCTTTCTAAAGCTTTTCCTTCCATCCCTCATAACATAACATTTCTGTATTTTGCTGCACATGAGGTCTGCCGATAGGCGGTGCCAAAAGGAGACTGCCCAATTGCACAAGCGACTTGCATGGTTCCACTTGCTTCACATACAAGTCCATATGAGTGTAACTCGCCAGAGCTTCCTCGCCCCAGCGGTGAGAGTTCCTTCCTCCAAGAACAGCTAAGTCCCGATGTGATGCGCTTTCTGCACTCACAGGATCTATTGTGTTCCCCTTGGAGATGCCAGCATGAACTCTGCTGTTTCCTTTCAGTTCCTCGGCCACAGAACAGGGCCACAGGCATTAGCACCAGAGCAGCATCCCTTTCTCACAGGTCTGAGTAGCAGCCCATGTCTCCTGATTGGCTCCTTTTATTCTCCTAGTTTTCAAGCTAACAAATTTATATTGGGTTAAATAAGTACTAAGCACCTTAAAAATAACAAATGTAAACTGAACTCCAACCAATACAATGGTAACACATTTTTTCAGTTTAAAGAACTGTTCCTTAGTGTTCCCTCATGGGTTGCATTTAAACCCCAATCCTCATATTTTCAGAACTCTATATCTGGGTTGGGCATTTGGCACAGTGAAGATGCTGTGTGAGATGACTGAATCTGATAACTGAGTGCCTGAGTTCTTATTCTGTCTGTGTCCTAAATTCTAGTATCCTGCTCCTGTGCACCTGAGAGGCAGCAGGTGGGGCCCCTGCCACACATACGCGCATGCGCGCGCGCGCACACACACACACACACACACACACACACAAACCAGATTGAGTTTCCTGCTCTTAGCTTCTGCCTAGTGATCCCTAGCTTCAAAGGGCACTGGGGTCCTGTACCAGCAATTGGTTTATCTCTGTCTCTGTTTCTCTGTCTTTCAAATTAATTCATTAAGACCTTACTGTTTTGGCTTTCAAAACTGAATGCATGTACTTTGATATATTCATGTGTGATTTCTTCCTCTAAGAGCAGTAAGAATGTATCCCAAAACTAAAACACTTTCTATGGAGGTTATAGTTTGTGTGTGTATAGCTATGCCTTCAGTCAATATTAAATCAATATTAGATGCAGATAAAAAATGCTTCTGGGGGCTGGAACTGGTATGTTGTTTGGCCACCACCTGTGGCACTGGCATCCCATATTGAGGCTGGGGGTGTGACACAAGCTTGAGGCCCAGCTGCTCCATTTCTTGATCCAGCTCCCTGCTAATGGTCTCACTCACATGGGGGAGACCTAGAAGAAGCTCCATTCTCCTGGCTTTACAATGGCCTATCTCCAGCCACTGTGGTCATTTGTTGAATGATAAATCTCTAAGAAAGCAATGCGTAGGTAGACAGCTTCAGCAAAATAGTGCAGAACAGATGTGGGCTCATTGATTAAAAAATTAACCCAAGTAGAAGAGTTCATTGCCCATCTTTTTAAAAAAGTATTTGTAATTTCATCTATTTGAAAGGCAGAGGAGGAACATGAGGCAGAGTAAGAAAGAGATCTTCCATCAGTTGGTTTATTCTCTAAATGTCCGCCATAGCTAGGATTGGGATGGGCCAAAAGCAGGGGCCCAAGGACACAGTCCAATCTCGCAGGTGGTTGGCAGGAGCTCAGATAGTCTGGGCATCACTTGTTACCTCCCAGAGTGCAGGAGCAGGAAGCTGGACTGGATATGGAGTAGTCAAGACCTAAACCAACATTCCGATACGGGATGTGGATATGACAAGTTGCAGCCCGATTCACTGTGCTCCAACACATTCCCCTCATTATTTATCCTGAAGCCTGATAACTTGCTTTATTGCAATTTTTTATTATAATGTGAGACTATGTTAAAGAGATGTGAGAAGTGCTACAAAGCATTTTGAGGGACTTGGGAGAAGTGAACAGTGTCACATGTATCTCACCATATAAAACAGACCCTAACATTCAAGGCTAAGACCAGGTGTCCAATCTGATGTTGGCAAATGGAGCCGAACGGAAGGGTTCTAAGGTGAGCGGTGTTACCAAGGTATAAGGTTTTACAAAATCAAATTCCTCTTTCCAGACACCTAATAAGAACTTTTCACAGCACTAGAATTGCTCTAA